TCAAAAGCACCAACTGAACATGAAAAAAGATATTGTAAGAAAACATTTTTTGATAAAAGAAATTACATAAAAGAAAACATTATAAATTAAATTGTACCTCGTCGAAGGCTTCAAAGATGTCAATGCTAGGCTGATGAATAGTGCACACAATGGTTCTTCCTGTCTCAGCTACGTTCTTCACAGCTCTCATCACAATAGCGGCTGCTCTTGCGTCCAGCCCTGTCGTTGGTTCATCCATGAATATGATTGAAGGATTCGCCACTAACTCAACAGCCACCGTCAAACGCTTCCTCTGCTCAGTCGAGAGTCCGCTTTCTCCATCAACTCCTACCAACGCGTCCTTGATCTCCTCCAGCTCGATCGTCTCCAAAACTTGCTTCACAAATCTCTGCAGCGAAAGTTTAGGTTAATTCTAGGTCACAGTGTTTGATTCTTAGAATCACTAGAGCTTACTATTTTGGTTTTATGATCTATCTCTGGGACTAGACGGAGCCAGGCGGAGTATATTAGGGATTCTTCGACTGTGATGTTCGGTGAGTGTATATCAGTTTGCTCGCAGTAGCCTGAGACTCTTGCAAACGTTTCTTGGACCTTACGGTATCCACTGATCTTGATGTCTCCTTCTATGTAACCGCTTGTTTTTCTTCCGGCGAGAACGTCTAGTAGAGTGGTTTTCCCGGCTCCACTGATTCCCATCAACGCCGTTAGAACTCCGGGCCTGAAAGCTCCGGTGATGTTCGAGAGAAGCTGAAGTTTCTTCTCAGTGTACCCTTGACCTCTCATCTCCTGGTATTGGCAAAGATCCATGGATTATAATCTTTGAGGGTCACTAAGTGGTAATGCTAAGATATATATGAATAAAACTATTAATTACCACAGGAACGTCGACGTAATAGTTCAAGTCTTGAAATGTTATGGTGAGTGGCTTAAAAGGTAACACCATCTTCCCTGTTGAATAAAATTAGGGTTGACGGAAAATTTAGGAAAAAAAATAGTTTGCTTGTGTGACAAGAAATATAATATGTTTCACCTGAATCCTCGTTTGTTTCTGTTGAGTTGTTCTGTTTGACTGATGAAACTTTTGTTCCTTGCAGCTCAAGTAGCTTCTCTTTGGAAATCATGGCACGAGATGATGTTGGAGCTGTCATTGTGTTAACATAAGCTCTTTAATTAGTATTTTTTGTCTGTGGCATTTATTTGCCTTAATATGTTGAAACTTACATCTCAAGAAACTCAAAGCAAGAGTGAAAATGGTGTTATAGATAAGGGCGAGACCAAACAATGCAGATAAGCAGACCCAATACATGTAATCATCATAGTCCAGTCCTCTGCTTTCAAGTATTGTTCTCCCCAATGTAACATTTGTGGGTAGCATCCGTAGACATAAACAGAATACTAATTAGTCTTTGGAGGATTAGTTGACGACATTCTAAACAAGAAGTTACCTGCTGCCATCTTGGAGCAAGAAACTCGTTTACAGAGAGTCCAATCTCTGCGTAGCTTATGGGATTCACCCAAAAACCCCACTTCAACCACCCTGGCATATCAGCTGCACCAAAACCAAGGTCATTTTTCAACAAAGATTGCAATGAAATGAAATGAAGCACCAAAAGCCTTACTATACGGGATGGCAAAACCAGCGAATACAAAGGTGATTAAGACAGCAAAACCACCAGCTGCCATTGAAGCAACTCCTGTCTGAAAGATTCCAGCTATACACCGGAACATAGATATCGTTGTGAAGTGAACAGCAAATAGCATAATAAACTGCTTAAAGAACCTGAAACATCAAAGATCATTTACATTCTCAGGCTTGGATTTGAGTGTGTGTTAAAGCTCTCACCTGGAGGCTTCTGGAGAGTAACCAATGACATAGTAAGTGAGACAAGTCCAAACTAGAGACTGAAAGAAAGAGAGAGGGACTTTTAAAACTGTTGCTGGGATAGCATAAGCCCAAGCTGGATAGAAACACAGTTGCTTCTGCTTGTAAAACACGGCAAGACGTTCAACAGTCATATTCAGCTCTGGGGCACCATTCACCAGAAGAACAACGGTTGCGAAAAAGAGGCAACTCATGTAAGAGTTTCCATGTATGATGTCTATGCCCATCCGTGTTCGAATAAACACAGTCATAGTGAGTATTGCAGACAGAAGAAGCTGCAGAACATAAAGGTTCTTCAGGTTTAACAGTATAATCTTTGATAGAAAAGAAAGAATGAAAGAGATGTGTAATAATAACCAGAAACGTGTCAAAGAGATAGACGAAGTAGTTTCTCTTCATGAGAAGAAACTCTCTTGAGAGGCATGCTCTGAACAGCTCCCAGTTTGGAAGTGAATATGGATTAAAAGAAAGAGAATCATTGTGTGTTTTTGATCTATCATATGGCTTAGAGAGGGCTTCCTCTAGCTTTCTCCCAATCTGCAGCTCCTTGAATCTCTTTGAAAACGTTTCTACAGAGACAAAGCTATAAGGCAAGTCCTGGTGCAGCCAGTATTGTCCTTGGTCCTTTCTAGATATAACCTGCAAAAAGCAAAAACAACACATGACTATGGCAGTGTCTAGGAAACAGATCAGTTTGGCCTTTTCTTTTTACCTCTTGTAGAAAGTCTGCAACACCTTTCCTTTCTGGGCATCTAAATCCACATTCCTCAAAAAAATTCAAGACCTCGTCTCTTGGACCGTGATACACAATCTTTCCTTTAGCCATCAGCACAATATCATCAAATAGGTCATATGATTCTGGAGCAGGTTGAAGAAGGGAAACAAGCACTGTTGCGTCTGTAATGTGAGCTAATTGCTGAAGAGACTTGACTATCTGAAGCGCCGTGGAACTGTCTAAACCGTTTGTTATTTCATCCATGAAGAGAGCTTTTGTTGGGCCAACCATCATCTCAGCTGAAAACAGTTTGCAGCGTTTCAGACACAAGCCATGCCAGCAAGAATCTTACCAGTTTTGCAAATTTAATTTCGTAGTATTAACGAAACCTGTTGTAAGACGCTTTTTTTGCCCTCCGGAGATACCTCTTCTCATTGCATTGCCAAACAATGTCTCCGCACAAATGTCAAGCCCTAGGATCTGAAAATTCAAATACAAGACATACCTAAAGAAGCTAATCAAGAACCACCAACTGTATCAGAGAAACTACCTTCAAGATGTAATCTGTTTGCAAACTTCTTTTAAGTCCTTTAACCGATATTGCCTGCACAAAAGAAAGGAAACATCTAAGTTAAATGATTATTTTCAGCATGTAGCTTGAGGAGTGGACCTTCATGTAAGCATCTACTTGAGGGTCAGGAATGATTCCACCATCCTTTTCTCTTTTAATGACCTCCATCATTATATCTGTTCGGCTTGCCACACCTTGACAACGAGCTGAGAAGTCAATTGTCTCCCTCACTGTCATCTCTGCAATGTGCAGATCATGTTGACTTATATACGCTGATGTTTTCTGAGGAACAAACTTGTTCAGTCCTTGTCCATTGTAGGAGATTTCACCAGAAACCTTTAGATTTTTGTCTAAGTTTCCAGACAAAGCCTTAAGCAGAGTAGTTTTTCCACATCCAGGAGGACCAAGCAGCAGTGTTAGCCTTGAGAAATAGGAAGAGACATTAGTTGAGTTTCATTACACATATCTCATAGCTTGGAAACAACTAACCTTCCCGGGTTAATGATGCCGCTAACATCATTAAGTATGTTTATCTTGGCTTCACGTGTTCTTACACCACTCATCTTCATCAGTCCCTGTAAGAGAAGAAGAGTATAGTTTTCAACACTAGCTTACTGCCATGTTGCAATATGCATTATAGTATACTCACCGTGAAAACATGCTTCAAGGAGTTCCATAAAGTTGGAAGCGCCTTCCCTTCAACGACCTCACACTCAGCTTCAACACTTAAATGCTCATACCTCACCTCTATGCTCGGAAACTCCACACCAACCCTGCATGTAGAAACAAAGTTAAAAGCACAACTTCAAGATTCACAAGGTTTGTTTCCTTATCTTATATTTTCACCTGTCTATTCTTTCTCTGATCTTCTTGAGAAGCTTGAGATTATCATTCTCAATGTGTTTGATCAACTTCTCAATCATTAGATGACGTTCCATGGCTCCAAGCTTGGTGACATCAGCCACCCTTTTCCCTTTCTCCTCAGACTCACTTTCTTCATCGATCAGAGATGATCTCAGACGCTCAAAAGTTGGCAATCTCTGGATCTCAGACCATTGCAGAGCATGCTCTACCTCATCCTCAGGATCATTTCTTGAAGAGCTTCTCCTGAAGCTAGTTCCTATCTCTGAAAGCTCCACTTTCTTTTCTTCTCCACCCATCTGATGAAATTTCTCACAGATCAAATGCGAGGTATGCCTTTTTTTTCTTTCTTATTAATAATACATGTAACTATACTTTTCAAAAATAAGAGTGCTTTTCAAACAAAGAATAGTGTAGGTGGTGGAAGGCATAAAGGTGTTAAAAAATTTTAATGAGAATATATTATAAGAAACACCAGCTTGTACTGAAGTTCCTTTTCTTTACTGCAACATGAGATTAGCAAACACTTAGCTTATATTATACTGGTAATCTATAAGCCACTAAAAGTAAATGTAATTGTTTCATATTTAAAAAAATGAACTACTATTATTAATTGATAATTTCATATCATCTTTTATGGATAAGTTCAAATCCTATCAATCTCAGTAAGTGAGGGTGTGACATGGTATCTTTGCCTCTAAATAAAGGTAGTATGTCTGATGTTCCTTTCATGTGGTCGGAATTTTTTGTTCGTTTTGTAGTTTACAATTTCCAGTGCATAGGTGGGAGCCAATGGGCCGGCCGGCCCATCTACAGAGACTTGTCTTTTTTTTAGCACAAAAATTATGAATACTTAAGTCAAAAACACACTCATTGAAATGATCAAGGAGTATCATCAGAAACCTTTAGATTTGGCTTGTCGCTGGTAGATAGAGCCACTAGTAGGTTACTATTGGGTTGGTCATATGTTGGCAGCATTGTGTCCTGGTTATAATTTTAACCATGCAATGTTTACATATATTCTCATTAATATAGATTTGTGACAAATTGATAACTATTCTAACATAAAATATAGATAGAGAAAAGCTTGATCTGGTGTATGATTGATGATGATATATATATCATCGTTTTTGAAAGTTAAGCTTCGCAACAAAGAAAGCAAACATAGAAGCTAGTGCTATTGGGAATGCGATGAGAATAATGGCTGAAAAGATCAAACGATCATGATGGAATCCAAAGTAGTCCTCCAAGAATCTCGCAACAGTCGTGGATTCTCCAAAGGCACTGATCTCTTCTTGAATATCACCGTACTGAGACGAGAAGAACACGTTGAGAGTCCAAGAGGTTGGAGCTAGGTAGTAAAGCCAGACCCACCACTTTGGTATTTGCTGCATTTTTTTCAACATCAAGAAAACACTATTAAGTACAAGTAAAGATGGTGAATGATTTGTTCAAAAAGATCTTTACCGGAAGTGGAATCAAGAAACCAGCAAAAAGGTTGAAAGCAACGAAGAAAAGAGACTGGAGAATAGCTGCGACCATGAAGTTTGGAGTGACAGAGATGAGGAACATTGCAAGGTAGTTGAGGCATAGTAAATTACAGAACATTGCGTAGAGACTCCAAAAGACTTTGTATGCAGATGCGTATAAACCCATCATAGGATATATCACTATCACAAACTCTGCGCTTTGTATTAAAATGTAAGGAATCTCGGTCACAACTTGAGCCAATGCATAAGCAAACGCAGAGTACATTCCAGCAAATCTTTCACGGTACATAACGTTTCGTTCGGTCTCAAAATATTGTAATGCTGAAGTGCAATTGTTTACACCTAAGAAGAGCACAAGGCCATAGATTGCACCAAGAACTGTGAACAAGTTCTGTTGTGTATCTCTGCCAAAAAAAAAACATACAAGAAGATATGAACTACTAAAGAAAGTAATGAAACTGAGTAGACAAAAGGTTTACATACGCAGCGTTTCACTGAAAGGCGATTTTGGCGAAAAAAAAGGCGATTGTGGGGTTAACGAATCTCTTCGTTTCCGGAGCAGGATCTGGATCTCCGATGGGGGATCAGGATCGTCTACTGTCTCCTTCGAGGGGGATTCAAGGTTCTACGGTGGTGTTTGCAGAGAAGGATGATCGGAACTCTTTGGTGAATGATAGGGATTATTTGGCGATGGGTTCGGAATCAAGTTTGAAGGATCAGAAACTTTCGGAGCCTTCGACGGAGACGTTGGAAGGTACTCAGTCTAAGCCGATTATATCGGACCAGAAATCGGGAGAATGGGTTAACGCGGTTAAAGGGAAGAAAAATCTGCAGAAGTATGAGATGGATATTACGATGGAGGATGGTATTGGATCTGTGAATGTACCTGATGAAGTCTTCAAAGACGCAGGTCCTCTGTGGGAAGATTTTCTCATCGGCCGATTTCTGGATAAAGCTCCTCATATAGGTAAAGTTCATGCGATTGTCAATAAGATCTGGGCGCTTAGTGACAAATCGCAGATGATCGATGTCTATGTGATTAATGAAACAACGATGAAGTTCAGAGTGGCTAATTCAGTCACAAGAAGTAGGATTCTGCGTAGGGGGATGTGGAATCTTGCTGAGATTCCAGTAATCATGGCGAAGTGGTCTCCGTTGACAGAAGACATTGAGCAAGAAACACACTCAATACCACTGTGGGTTCACTTGAGGAATGTCCCTATGGATATGTTCTCGTGGAAGGGCCTAAGCTTCATCACAAGTCCGCTTGGTAAGCCTGAGAAACTTCACCCGGACACTGAGCAATGTATCAATCTGAAGATTGCAAAGGTTTTTGTGAAAGTTGATCTGTCAAAGGAGTTGCCAAAATCAATGAACTTCACGTTTAAGGAGAAGAAAACTAAAGTGGACTACATTTACCCATGGCTCCCATCTAAGTGTACCCACTGTGGAAAATGGGGACATTTGATTTCGGTATGTAAAAGAAAGAGAGCAGAGGAGGATGCTCTTGAAATGAATCAGGAGGAGCGAAATGTTTCAAATAACATTGTGGAGGATGTTGTGGCAGGGGGTACTAGGGTGGATGTGGTTGTTAATCCTCTGGTTCCTACAGTTGTATCCGATTCTGTATTGGAGGTAAGTGAGAACGGGAATGGTAAGGAGATTTTGGAGAGTTCTACTGGAGTTGTAGAGAAGGTTTGGAATGAAGTTTCTTTGGGGAAAGCAAGTCGTACTCCTTCTTCGACTAAGAAACAGGAGCAGGGCTCAATTTTGTCTAACTCAAGGTTCTCAGTTTTAAGCCTTGATGAAGAAGAAGGTGAAATTATTGTTCATAAAGAAGCCCTAGAAGTTGAGCCAAATAAAGAAGAAAGTGATAAGGAGGATTCAGACAAGGAAGAAGTATCAGTTTGGGGTGAGGAAGGCTTTGGTTTGAGGCAATACTTGCCAAGAGGATCTAAGGCTAAGCATAAGTTCTTTTTGGATACTGCTGTTCAGAGAGTTCGGGACGATGGACCGAGTGATCTGAATAAAAAGAAGAAACCTCGCAATGCTAGATGACAGGGTTCTTCTGGAACATGCGCGGCTTCAATAAACCTTCAAAACAGAGAGTAGTCCGCGAATGGGTCAGGGATCAGTCATTACAGTTTGGGAGTTTAATAGAAACAAGAGTAAAAGAAAATAAAATTGGTAGTATTGTGAGTTCAGTCTTTCAAAATTGGTCATATATGGCTAACTATGAGCATCACCATCTTGGGCGTATTTGGGTGGTGTGGGGGCCGTCAGTAAGGATGACTCCTGTCTTTAAAAGCAGTCAGCTTGTAACTTGTTCAGTTCTGCTAGAAGGGAAAGCGGAGGAAATATTTTGCTCCTTTGTATATGCGTTTAATACAGTGGAGGAAAGGAGAGTTCTTTGGGAGGATTTGAGAAGTCATAAAGATTCTCCAATGTTTAGAAATAAGCAATGGTTGATTCTTGGAGACTTCAACGAGATTCTGGAGGTTGGGGAACATTCTAATTATGATAGTGGTTCTAATGTTCCAGCAGGAATGAGAGATTTCCAGGAGTTTGCAAATTATTGTTCCTTGTCTGACATGGGTTCTCATGGACCCTTGTTCACGTGGTGTAATAAGAGGGAAGAAGGTTTAATTTGCAAAAAGCTGGATCGTGTGTTGATTAATGACGTTGCTATGCATGGTTTGGGAAGGACGTACAGTGTTTTTGAACCAGGGGGCTGTTCAGATCACCTTAGATGCAGAATTCAGTTTGATAAGGAGGAGATTGCGAAGAAAAGAAGGCCATTTAAGTTTACGAATGTTATAGCTACTATGGAGGAGTTTATTCCGGTGGTGGAGGGTTACTGGAAAGAAACTGATATTTTGTTCCATTCAACGTCTGCTATGTATAGGCTTGGTAAGAAGCTTAAGGGTCTTAAGCCAATGTTGAGACTGTTGAGCAAGGATAAGCTGGGGCAGCTCCATAAGCAGACTAAGGAAGCGTTTATGGTTCTTTGTGACAAGCAGGAAATAAATTTCAGAAACCCAAACCCTGTTACTATGAGACTGGAGTGTGAGGCTTTGGAGAGATGGCAGAGGTTAGCTGATATAGAAGAGGAGGTCTATAAACAGAAGTCTAAGATGCATTGGCTTGATGTGGGGGACAAAAACAACAAATTTTTTCATAATGCAGCAAAAATAAGAGAAGTGAAGAATGCTATTAGAGAGGTGCAATGCCCTGATGGTAGTATAGCTTCAACGGATGATGATATTAAAAGAGAAGCTGAGAGATTCTTCACAGAACTTCTTACTTATAAGCCTGCTGATTATGTTGCGCCTAATGTGGAGTACCTTCGAAGTCTCTTACAATTTAGCTGTGATGATAATGATCAGGAGAACTTGGTAAAAGATGTTACTGCTGAGGAAGTGGTTAAGGTGATCTTCAGTATGCCTTCTAATAAATCGCATGGTCCTGATGGCTATACCATTGAGTTCTTCAAAAAGGCTTGGCCAGTAATTGGGAATGATGTGGTTGTAGCTGTGCAATCCTTTTTTATCAAAGGGTTTCTCCCCAAAGGTATCAATTCTACTATACTTGCTTTGATACCTAAGAAGGATACTGCCAAGGAAATGAGAGATTATCGGCCAATATCATGCTGCAACGTGCTTTATAAAGTGATATCTAAGCTTCTTGCTAACCGGCTCAAAGGTATTATGCCCAAATTCATCTCTGCCAATCAGTCAGCCTTTGTCAAAGATAGGTTGTTGATGGAGAACCTTCTGCTTGCTACTGAATTGGTTAAAGATTATCACAAAAGTGAGATTTCTCCGCGAAGTGCCATGAAGATAGACATCTCCAAGGCTTTTGATTCAGTGCAGTGGCCTTTCCTCTTGGCAACTCTAGAAGCTCTGGGATTTCCTCCTAAGTACATTCACTGGATCAAGCTATGTGTATCTTCAGCATCTTTTTCTGTTCAAGTAAATGGCGAGTTGGCTGGTTACTTCAATAGCACCAGGGGTCTTCGGCAGGGTTGTGCTCTCTCTCCTTCGCTTTTTGTAATTTGCATGAACGTTTTATCCAAACTCCTGGATAGAGCAGCTGCTGAAAGATTGGTGGGTTATCATCCTAAGTGTAAGAATGCGGTCTTGACCCATTTATGCTTTGCTGATGATATAATGGTGTTTACGGATGGACAGAAGAGATCCATTGAAGGAGTTCTTCAGGTTTTTGGAGTTTTTGAGAAGCTTTCTGGTCTAAAGATTAGCTTGGAGAAATCTACTCTTTATATGGCTGGGATTTCTGTTGGTAATCAAAGTGCTATCTTGGAGAACTTTCCTTTTGAAGCTGGACAACTTCCGGTTCGCTACTTAGGTTTACCCCTTCTTACCAAAAGAATGACTGTGGCTGATTACTTGCCGTTGATGGAGAAGGTCAGGACAAGGATGTGTAATTGGAATGGCAGGTTTTTGTCTTATGCAGGGAGACTCCAATTGATTAAGTCTGTCATTATGAGCTTAACTAATTTCTGGCTCTCTGCTTTTAGACTTCCGCGTCTCTGCCTTGATGAGATTGAAAAGTTGTGTGCTGCCTTCTTGTGGTCTGGGCCTGTGTTAAACACGAAGAAATCAAAAGTCAGTTGGTTGGAAGTGTGTAAAACGAATGAAGAGGGTGGTTTGGGTTTGCGTCTTTTAAGAGAAGTGAATGAAGTTTCTGGTCTCAAGTTAGTTTGGAGAATTCTCTCTGGGTATAACTCCCTATGGGTGAAATGGGTCAAGATGTACTTGATTCGAAAAGGGTCCTTTTGGTCAGTAAAAGAGAGCTCTACTGTTGGTTCTTGGATGTGGAAGAAAATTCTTAAGGCAAGAGATGCTGCAAGAAATTTTCATCGAATGGAAGTGAGAAATGGTGAGTCTACCTCTTTTTGGTTCGACTTCTGGAGTAACATGGGGTGTCTGATAAATTTGACAGGAGCAAGAGGGTTTATTGATCTGGGTATTCCTGAGAATTCTACTGTCTCTGAGGTTATACAACATCATAGAAGAAGGAGGCATCGTACTGATACTCTCAATAAGATAGAGGATGAAATTGAGAGACTGAAGGGTGGTGACTTACATTCTGCGGATGTTGCTCTATGGAGAAATGGAGCAGAGAATTTTAAGCCTACTTTTTCATCAAGGAGCACTTGGTTGCTGGTTAGAAAGGAGTATGCTTTGCAAAGGTGGAGTAAGTGTGTCTGGTTCAAACACGCTACACCTAAGTTCTCTTTTCATGTATGGACTGCAATGCTTGATAGATTGTCAACGTGTGATAGGATGGTGAAATGGTACCCAACCATGGATCCAGTTTGTGTTCTGTGTAAGCAGGAGGTGGAATCCAGAGACCATCTTTTCTTCTCTTGTGCTTATGCTAGTCAAGTTTGGAGCAAGTTGATGAGAGGTTTGCTAAGCACGAGGTATACGGATAAGTGGGGAGATATTATTGAAATTATGCTTGATCTGAATCAAGACAGGGTTAAGCTTTTCCTGATCAGATATACTTTTCAAGCTGCTGCTCATTCTATTTGGAGGGAGAGAAACTGTAGAAGGCATGGAGATAAGCAGATTTCTCAATCTTTGCTGGCTAAGATCGTTGATAAGAATGTGAGAAACAGGCTGTCTACTATTCGACGCCAAGGAGATTGGAGGTTGGAGAAAGGGATGCAATTGTGGTTTGGCTCTAGATAATTTGTTTCTTTGCAATGTAATTTCAAATTTTAGCCTTTTGTTGCATTTCATGTAAAAACGTTTTTGGATAAATAAATTTAACATTTATTCAAAAAAAAAAAAAAAAAAAAAAAAAATGAAACTGAGAGAGAGATGGATGCAGCCTTACATCTTTTGTCCTTGCTTCCAGAAGAGTACACCGAAGATCAAAGAAGAGAATAAAGTGTGAAAGATTCGCATCAAGTTGTAAGAAGGGCTTCTCCAGTAAGACAAACTCATCTTCCATAGACAAGATTTGAACTGTCCCCACCAACTCTGCGCAAAAGTTCTGTCGAAATGCAAATCGGTTGAACCGGTATCCGGTTTGCTCAGCTCTGCAGCTAGCTCGGAGTTGCTCCTAGGGAAGAATCACATGAGATCATTAACCATGGATGATGACTTAGCTGTTTTGAGATGTTTTACTTACTTGTAAAGATCAGATTTGTTGTAGATTTCTGCGAAATCTATGTTGAGTTCAGTCTCTATAGACTGTGAAGTAATTTCTAGCATCCATGTTGCTGGATTGTAGTTGTCTTTGATCTTAGTAACTCCAGGGATACTCTGTTTTTTTAGCACAAACATTTAACAAGTTATAGACATTAAACTGACTTGTTGTTGCTTCTTGTGAAACACGCTAACCTCAAAATACTGAATGACATGAGAAGAATGTTGTCCAAGTGGTCCAGTGTAAATCATGCGACCTCCTCTCTTCAGAAGCACCAACTATACATCATAAACAATATTTTTTTTAAAAAAATACTCTTCAAATATCATTAAATCAAATTATTGTTAAAAAAAATAACAGGTAAAATCTAAAATAGCACGTTAATAACTTATATAATTAAATATATATTTATATATTTGGCTTTACAGTTTAGTGATTAAAATTTTAAGTTTAGTATTTCCCTATTTGGATTAGAGTGTACAATGTAACATAATTTAATGCTTTTACTGATTAATAATTATCATTGTTAAGCATTTCCTTTTAAAATGCTATTTTTATAATAAAAACTAAAAATGTTATTTATAAGCTTGCCCAATATTTTATTAGAAAATTAGCAAAGAAAACCTTATAAATAAACTTTGCAACTAGTATGTATACCTCGTCAAAAGCTTCGAAGATGTCAATGCTAGGCTGATGAATAGTGCACACAATAGTTCGTCCAGTCTCAGCAACGTTCTTCACAGCTCTCATCACAATTGCAGCTGCTCTTGCGTCCAGCCCCGTCGTTGGCTCGTCCATGAATATGATCGACGGATTCGCCACCAACTCAACAGCCACCGTCAAACGCTTCCTCTGCTCCGTGGAAAGTCCACTCTGGCCGGTGACTCCCACCATAGCGTCCTTGATCTCCTCCAGCTCGATCGTCTCCAAAACTTCCTTCACAAATCTCTGCACGATTGTTTTTCAGTCTATTTAATTTCTAGGTCACATTGTTGATATCATTAGAATCATTAGGGCTTACTATTTTGGTTTCAGGATCTATTTCTGGAACTAGACGGAGCCAAGCTGAGTAAATGAGTGACTCTTCGACTGTTATGTTTGGTGAGTGTATATCAGTTTGCTCGCAGTAGCCTGAGACTCTTGCGAACGTTTCTTGGGCCTTACGGTATCCACTGATTCTGATGTCTCCTT